GTTCGTAATTCATTGCTCTCACTGAGTTATTCAGGTGGGTATAATATTGTTCATGTCAAATATGGACGTAAATAACGCTTTAAAATCATTTATTGTATAGATATATTGATGGATAAGCTGAAGATAGACAGTTTTCATTTTCTTCACTAATTTACTTTCTCTTGGATTAGACAAACCTCAGATATTTTCTGCTTTGGATTTCATGAACATGTTTTCAGTTGTTACTTTAAATAACGCATGAAACAATTGAATGCTTCTAATTTAGTTTCATCGAAGGAAATCTTTGTTTATTTGATCGAACTACTATTTATTCATAGCGATCAGCTAAGACTTTTTCTGAATTTTCGAAGTGAAACATCGATTGAGAAGTATAAAAAATACAAGTTGATGCTTATACATGTGATTGTGTGTATACTGGACGGGTTCTGTTTCTGACAATCGGCAAGTGGAATTCAAATACTCATCTAATCCATAAAATCATAAGGAAAATTAATTATTTGTTGGGTATACTTTCGTGAATATTATCATGAATCTTGTTACTGATAGCAAATACACGTTAATGCGCGTATCATTAATTGATACCTTTCTGAAAAAGACCAAAGTACTAAAAAAAAGTTAATTTTTTTGAATAGCTTCGTGACTTGGCCAGCTTCGTGTACGTTGCTTTTATCTGCATTGCAGCTTATGGTGTAGTATCTCGAGTCATGATAAATCATGATATAGAATTCACTATTCAAAGTATTTTTGCCAATATTTTCTACGCGCCTTATTGGTTCCTATATTCCGATGTCAGCGACGAAAGAAAAACACTTGACGGTAAGATGATTGAAGCGCTAATGAAAATAGATTTGCTCGTTTTTTAGAGATTATTACAAATAATAGTAGTTCTGATCTGACCATTGCAGCAACTACAACTCATGTATTACTTGCATTTCACCTGCTATTCATTAATCTTCTTCTTCTCAATCTTCTTATAGCCGTATTCACGTACGTAGATCAAATCGATGAATGACGATAATCAAAGTCATCCCATATCCGTATTTAGTACAACAATCAATAGAGTCGAAAATAATACCAAGTATTTCTGGCGTTATCAACGGTACAATTTAACTCAAGAATATTTTGAAAAACCTATTCTGGCTGCACCTCCAATCATTCTTGTTACCTATGTCGGTCTGATTATACGACATATATGGTATCGATTGAGACAAGTTTTCGATCGACACAAAGAAATACCAGTTGGCAAATATTGTCTATCCGGAAATTTCAGTCAGTTATAATTTGACTTGAGTTTTGATTCGAAATAATGTTTTAATAAATTATAGAGATGATTCCAGCCGACTCAAGGTTTACAGAGCGCTGCACCGCCTTTGAACATGCGGCAACCTATGATTATGCGAGATGTGTTGTTGAACATAAAGAGGTCTCAAAGATAGGCGGTGTTACCTCAATATGAATAATTGTTAGTAGCAATATTCTGTATGGTTCTTACAGACTTCGAATGCTTCAGAATAAATAACGATCTCAGTATTCACCGATATTTTCTTTATTTGTCATCGTTTAGACTTTAACGGAGTGTGGGCGTGGGTATAACTGATGAGTATGGCTGTAAATAGAATGTGTGGAAGTATGGAATGTGAGTCATCTGTAGGTATCCGCATCTACATTGACCGACATATTCGCACTCCTATCATACCGACATTCACGATCACATTTCACATACTTCACCGTTATCTGATATCATGTGGTCATAAGTATCATATTCACATGGATTTTTAAAATAAAAAAGTTCTATCGAAATATGTTCGGACTTTTGCACTTTTATAATCTTTATGTTTATTGAAAGAAAAAATTGAAAGCTCTGTCAAAACCATAAAAAAGCATAAAATATATTTGAGTGTCTTCATTTTTAAAAGTCAGTAATCGGTTTTTTTTTCACTGTTTTTTTTATAATCGTGGATTTCCTTTGTTTGTCTTTGGCAAAATCAGATACCATTGTTTTGGAGTCAGTTTGAAGTAGCACTTCAAGACCGTAGCTAAGGAAGATTCATAGAATTTCTTCTTGTAAGCAATTGAAGATATCACATATAGAAAAAACTCAGTGTTTGAGGCGCATATGAAAGAAGGCAGACAGTCAAAAGTTAGTGCTGTTGCCAACTAATCAATAGCGTAAAGATGAAGCTAAATGATAGAACAGTTCAGGTGAAGCCGACATCACAATAATAGTCGATGTCAGAAAAAGTTCCTTATGTACTGTAAACTGCTTTTTTTTATATCTGACAAAATATTATATGATTTCCTGTTGTTCTCGATCGTTGATGAGCAACCAAAATAATGAGGACAATAACTGAAACAGTTCGAAGTAGGAATGGAACTAAAAGGTGAAGAAGTATGTTTACTTGATTGTACTCAGTCAGGGAAGGGTACTGTTCGAAGCTATTCGTGCATAGTGAAATAATCGAATCTGGTTGGCGAATCGAGATTTAAAATTGGATTTCGTGGATATACATTGCCAACAAGGAATGAACAAAATAGATAGCGAACTGTGGCTTTCAGCAGTCACAAGAGAAGAGCTTTGAAGATCTTTTTATTTTATACTATATAAGACTAAAATATTCTAAAAACCATAATCTTTGCAAAATATTCAAAAAAAAATGAATGACAATAGTCTTCGATTTTGATTTAATTTAGATTTTGATTTTAACATGTGCTTCAGAGATAGAGGAACTTAGCCAGATCTTTAGCTCAAGTTACAATTTAGGTGACTATCTACTCATATCTTAATGCTGAACAAATAAAATTGCATATCTATTTGGTCAAATTACATAGAATTCTGTTGATTTTTGCCAAATTTTATAATTTTTTATCAAAACTTCCTTGAAACGAAACATTGTTCATGCATGTTGTTGAAGATTATGAGCAGATGGAGTTTTTAACTAATTTTGCCTAGTATAGAACCAGGCAAAAGAAGTTCGAAGTTTTCCTCTGAGTATTTCTGAAAACCAATTGTTGCTCCCTATTGCTATTGTGTGGAGTTATTGAGCTTAGACTCACCCTGTTTAATTGTGGCGTGAATATTAGTTATCTTTGTGTTTGAAAAAACAAATAAGTCCAGAAAAATTTGTCTTTTTGCGGCACTATTGATAAGTTAATGGAACGTTCTCGAGAAGATTGAGAACAAATTGCAAAGGTTCGATCTCAATAGTTTCATCTTGCGTTTGAAGGACTGTTTTCTGAGTTACATTCTCGAGATTATCACGACATAAAATGACAACTTTTAATGCATACCCACACATGCTGTGCTCCACACTGCATTAAAACCGAGCTCTGAGTTACTGAAATATACTCATGTCATCGAAATTGCGCAATAATCGGCGATTTTAACACGATTTATTTGGATGATTAATTGCCTAAACTGCGATTTTTGCCAACTTTTCCCAATTTTCATACAAAAGTCAGAATTTGTTTCTGATTTTATGAGATAATCGTGATTATTCAAATAATATTTCCGATGATCAGACCTGTTCGTAGTATTTGGACTCACGACTATGACTACATCTTGACGTGTATACCACCATCGTTTACCATCATACTCATACATGTTTCTCGTGAATGAGGAGAAAGACAAGTTCTTTCTTTCCTTCCGCAGTAAATAATACTAAAAAAGTTATTTTAAATAAAACAATACTTACTGTTCATTGAGATGATCACATAATCGAAATAAAAGAGAAAGAAGCTATTTTATAAAACAATACTCGCTTTTCACTGAGATTGTCAGATGACCTAAATAAAATAAAAACAACTATATTTAGTTTTTCTATAATAATAGTTACTGTTGAAGTTTGTTGGAAAATCACTGATTGATTACGATTTATTGTAATGTACGAAAAATCACATTAATCGCTTTTAATCGACGATTTTTTAAATAGCAAAAAAACCGTTGATTAAACCCAATTAATTAACGAGTTTTTGCTTAAATCGCGACTACTCGCCGATTTTTCCAAATATTGTGATTAAGCTTAAAAAACGACACGGTTTTAATGATTTCGACATTAATCACTAATTGTACTTTGAATAAGTCTCGCTTTCGACAACAGTACAGTACTATTCAATGCATATCATATTCAGATTTCTTTTCTCTTCTAAATATGATTTCATTACTGATGAAATGAAAATTTAATATTTGACATGAATAAATTCTCTTCTTTTATTTTATTGTATCTGGAATTAACAATTGATTAATGAACAAAAAAATTGATACCGTATCGTATCTCATCGAGATACTTCTTCAGACAATATAGCTAAGACAAATGACTCAATGTACAAAGTAATCCTTTCTTTTTCTTTTCTTTTTATGTCATTCTTTTGATTGTGATGCGGCAAAATAAGACGATAATAGCAACAGGTAAATTGGGATTTAATTCTTTGCCCAATCATTATCAAAAGAATGACTAAGAAAGAAAAGAAAAATAAAAGATTATTTTGTACAGCGAGTCATTTGTCTTAGCTTTATTGTCTGGAGAAGTAGCTCATCGAGATACAAAACGTCACGAATTTTTTGTTAGTTATTTAATTTTTAATTGTAAATAAAACAATATAAAAGAAGACACTTTACTCATGTCAAATATTAATTCAACGTTCTTATCAAGACAAAAAGCAATCATATTTTCGATCTTTTTTATCTGTATTGAAGTTTGATGCGAAAGGTCAATGTATGATGCACTATCTTCAGATTCTATTATTAAGTAAGACAACATTGCTTTTTCTTTCTTCTTTATTCTAAATATTCAAGAGACATGAGGGTATGCTTTGTGTTTAAGAGGAAAATGTGTATATCAAAAAATTATAGTGTTTAAAAAAAAGAACAATAGAAATAATTAGAGGTGTGTGTGTGTATAAATATAACAAAAAAAGCCATCATGGGAAAACAAAACACAGGAAATAAAAGAAGAGTTATATAGTTCAATTATTTTGTCTTCTTTTGGTAATTTTTTTCTCTTTTATCGAATACGAGATGTTGATGAACCACGCTTAACATTATGCTTTTTTCGATTAACCATTGTTTTACGTTGATTTGCTATTGATTTCATTTTCATTGACTCAATGATTTTTTTCTAAAATAAAATAAAAAGTAAAATGATCTTTTCTTTATTATATCATAAACAAATTAACCTTTGCATCATCAGGTATAAATGGAATCGAATTAATATCACAATTTGGTTCTTGTCCAGTTTCTTTTCGTTTAAGCATCATTAAAGCAATATCAATTGGCAATGCAAACCAAACCATGTGTAAATATTTATCGGGTATATTTAATGGAGGATCCGATGTATAATCAACTACTTCAAGCGCATATCTTACAGCATCGGCAGCAAGTGCTTTCGCCTCACGAAATGGATCCTAAGATAATGAAAAAAATGTTTTTATACGATGTCAAATAAATTGAATATGAACGATTTATGATATTGATTGATTTAAAATGAAACTTCTCCATTAGATTTCGATTTACAATCGTAATAGGAACAGTTCAGTTGCAAAAAAGAAACATGAACCGATCCTATACCTCTGATCACCATAATTAAAACTCAGTGTGATTCGAATATCGTATATCGATTAGTAGTCTTTCGGATCTCATTATAAATGTCAGTGTTTATTTTAATAGGAAATGTCGATGAAAACTGACGCTAAAAAACCATAGATTTACATTTATGATATATTCTATGCAATTTTATGATAAATTCTAACAATATCACTGATAGATTTATGATTTTTTTTCATCTTACGAAGAAAGTCTTCCAACTAATTAAACACTATTGATCCAGACGCAAGTGTATCATATAGATTCTAATGGGTTATGAATACTACGAAAAGAATTCAGATGCTTAACTGATTATTACCGATATATTGTATTTTGACAGTATTTTTCTATACAATGGCGTGGTTCTTTCCGCTCAAGAACACCAAAATAACTGATTTTCGAATTTCCACTAAAAACTTTGCATAGAAACGAGAAAGTATTAGACCCTTTCACCTGTTCCTGTTCTGAGATAAGAACATCGGATCTGCAGCTGTATATGAGCTATGTAAAATACGTGCTTTTACTGTGGTCGGATCTTGGCATAGGAACAACAAAAATATCTGAACCTTTCACAATAAATTATTCTCGTAAAGACTTGTTCCTTTGCAAAGTTTCAAGCCGAAATTTGTAAATCAACTATCTTGATGTTCCTGAGGGGTACCGTAGCATTGTATTGAAAAATACTGTAAAAATGTAATATATCGGTAGTAATATGCTTTGGACCCGAACTCTTTTTCTAGTATTCATAAGCCATTAGGATCTGCATGATGCCCATAGTCCCAACTTAAATGCGATTAATCAAGAGAGGAACGTCTCGCATTATATCTGAAAATCTAAAGAAAACAACTACTGAGAATTGACTACGACATAAATCATTAACTTATGTCGTTTATGCCACAATCAAAAGTATTATTAATCAGAATTTACTTACAGGAATGCCTTTTTCTGCATATGCAGCTGATAAATCTCTTTTTCCATAATATTGCATTTTACCAGATTTGTATGTTATATCCTCGAGACTTGATTGAGCTAATTGAAAACCACTGCGATGAGACCATGAAGCTGTCACCGGATTATATGTATACTAAAACAAAAACAAAAATAAAAACAAACTTTAAACACCATACATAAATAGTTTTTTATATACCAATGGTAAAAATCTCCATCCATGAAGAGCAATAAATTCTACGGCATTAAGAATATATTCAATTTCATCATCAGTTGCAAAATAAGGTAAATTAATACGTGAAAAACCGGGTCTAAAGAAAAACAAAATTTTGATTAAATTGAAAACAAAAATAAAAATAAAATTTCTATTTACTTCATCATCATAGTTCGAACAATGCCTTCATTTCCTCGAGCCCTAAAATCGAAAAATAAAATTAAATAATTTTGTTTTGTGATTTTTTTCGATTTTTGAAATCAGTTCAACTCACCAGGCATTTTCTGTCATGAACAAACAATACGTGTCTGATTTAGCATCATTGATATTTAATAAATCAAGTGCATATGGTCCAGCGCAAGCACAACCAGATCGAACTTGTATGCCAAATAAGTCATTAAATAAACGGCAAACTAAATTTTGATGTAAATATTTGCATATAATCGGTACATAAATAGAAAATGAAAATATTGGTAAACGCGCAGCAGTTTGAGAACCAAGAAGAATTAATGTGTCGATTTTTTTAAAACGTCGAAAAAATCGTTTAACTAATTCATCTTCACGTGCTTGAATATAGTTCAAATCAAGTGAATCTTTTAACTGGAAAACAAGACCAGCTCGAATACAACCTATTATATCTGGTGTACCACCTTCTTCACGAATTTCAAAATTGTAATTATATTCTCGACATGTACGAGTTACAAAGTTAACAGTACCACCACCACAAGCTTTTGGAGGTTTCAAACTAAATAAATTCTTTTTGGCAACTAAAATACCTATGAAAAAAAAATAAGAAGAATAATAAAAATGATTGTTGTTTGAATATTTTTATATCTTACCAGGTGTACTCGGGCCACCAAGAAATTTATGTGTTGAAATAAATATTGCATCTTTATAAGCTGTTGCTGATGGATTCATATCAATTTTAACATAAGGTGCAGCTGTTGCATAATCCCAAAATATTAAGCCCGAATATGAATGAACAAGTGTTGATACACTATCAACATCAGTATAAATACCAGTTATATTACTTGCAGCATTTAATGAGCAAATAATACGTCTTTTTAAATTTGAATAATGTTGTAATTTTTCTTTTAATACTGATTTATCAAGTATACCTTGTTCTGTTGTAGGTATTCGAAGCACCTTTAGAAAAATTTTAAAAAATTAATACGAGTAAAAATAAATTTTCTTTTAAAATTTCATATCTTACTTCAACACCTGCTTCAGTCCATGGTAATATATTACTGTGATGCTCAAATGCACTAACCATAACAATTGTATTTTTTCGATTAGATTCTTCATGAAAATTAAAATTATGAACAAGTGTATGAACAGCACCGGTTGAACCAGTACCAGTAAATAACAAAATATCACTTTCATTAGCATTAATCGATTTTTTTATTATATTACGGGCTTCTTCACGAAATTTTGTAGATTGTTGAGCACATAAACTTGTTTCACTATGTGTATTACCATATCTATAGAAAAAGAAAATTAAATTTATAAAAAGACAAAAAAAAATCAAATGCATTTAAAAGTTTTAAATATACTTACAATGGAAGTACATGAGTTCGAATATATTTTTCAATAAATTCCAATGGACGACCTGATGCCGTATAATCACAATAGACCACTTTGCAAAAAAGAAACAAACAAATTATTTCAATACGAAAATGCAAAAATCTTACTTCGTCTTAAACCCCATGGTCCATTGAAAATATGATCCTTGCCAATAATATTCTCGCTAATATATTGAATCAGTTTAGGACGAGCAACACCATTATTATTTTTAGTTGATGAACTATAAATTTTATTAATGGATGGAAAAATTCCATTAGCATTGTTTAATTTTTGATAAATATCATTAGATTGTTGCTCAGTTGTCGACAATTCTGAACGACTCATTAAATTTGATTGAGATTTTGGATATGATGATGAAAGTGTTTGTGTCGTTTTGGGCTTTGTTGGTCGCCGCTAATAATTTACAGAAAGAAAACTTAAATCATATTTAATAAACATCATTAACATGCATTTTAAACGATTCGAATTGTTTTTTTCGAAAAAATTAAATAAATAAATAAATTTATTTTTTTTTGAAAAAAAATAAAAAAAATTCGTTAAGAATAAGCGCCATTAGAAAAAAAAAACATTTCTTACCATAAATAGTTCTTCTTCATCACCACTGGATAAATCAGTATAATCTGATTCATAACAACTCGAACCACTATGACGTCGTTGACGTCGTTGATAAATTTCAGGTGGTGGTGATGATGATGGCTGATTATAAAGAAAAGGACCCGATAATGGTGATTCAAACGATGCACTTAACGGCAATGCTGATGTATTACTACTCATACTGTTAGTACGATTATGATATGGAGCTATGTCAAACACTTGATGCGGTACAGTATGAGTAAAAGAACGTAGTATATCTTGGTTTTGTGGTATGGAGCTATTTGATAGCCATGCATCAGATGATGAGAGTGGTATCATATTAATTGGACTTGAGCGTGGTATTTGTTGTTGCACCTGTTGTTGTACTTTTTGTTGAACTTGCTGCTGAGCTTGTTGCTGTTGAAGTTGCTGTTGGAGTTGTTGTTGAAGTTGTTGCTGAAGTTGTTGCTGAAGTTGTTGTTGAAGTTGTTGCTGAGCAGGTGTTGCAATTTGCGGTGTAGCTTGTGGTACTAATTGGTCGGTTCTAAATAGTTGTTGCTTTTGGTCCATTGTTTGTTGTGGAAATGCAAGAGACGTAAGAGATGGATTAGAAAAAGCACCTTGCATAGAACGTAGATGATTGTATTGATGATACAACAAATTCATTCCCTGTTGTTGTTGTTGAACATACATTGCTTGATGAAGAGGATAATGATGCCGATGCATCGAATATAACTATAAGAAATAAGAATATTTCAAAATGAACAATCTTCTTTTTTTTAAATATCTTACTTGTGTTGGGGTATATGAGTACATATTTTATTGGATAACTTCGTAGTGTTTCAAGCTAAAACACGCAATGAAGTGTAATAATGGACAATGTCTCTTGATTTTATATGACAATAATATCGTCAATAATATATGAAAGCAAAACAGTATTAATGAGGATAAATATATGAATACGAGAAGAGAGAGAAAAAAATAAGTTTTTTTTCACTCCTACTTATACTCGTGATTGCGATGTGCGAAAATGAAATAGGAAAGGTGTGTTTGATGCAAATGATGTGGTTATATTCGTCTTAATTTTTTGAAAAAAATCAGCAATAGAGCATTCAATGCGCAATTGGCGTGATTAATGACCAAAAAAGAAAGCGAATTAAAAAACATAATAACAACAAGTATATCTATTTATTTTCATAATAAAAACTGATCAAAAACATTGCCCATGACTCTGAAAGTTCAAAGAGGTGTAGGTTCGAAATATATACAAACTATTGGATGTTTACATCTACCTTTCATAGAGCTATTACAATGATACATCGATTCATTTATTGAAAAGAAAAAGCAACTTAACCATTCATATAACGATGACTCTTCTTTATATAGAAAAAAGCGTAACTATTTCTTTTTTTTTCTTATTTCGTCAATAATTCATCTTTCTCGCGTCATATCAATAATTAAAACACTGTTTGTACTCTTTCACACAGAAATACGTGATATAAAATTATTTTCATAATTCTATATTCGCATATTAATTTCTTCAATAAGAATTAGAAATAAAATTAAAACGAGTGATAAAAAAACCAAACAAAGTACTCGACTGTTATTTAGCTTCATACAGTTCGATCAATTTATGATATAAGTGTATGTGGTTTGATCATTGGACAGCAAAAAATAAATATTTCTTCTCACATGTTTCTTACTTATTAATGGTTTCGTAAAGTATTTTCATCGTTACGCTCCCCCTTTCGCACGTATATTGGTCTAGGTAGTAGGTAAGAAAAAAATAAATGAAATGAACCAAATGCATTCAAGCTTTTCAAATGAAAAAATCATAATATATTGTGGTTTATAATTTCTTTATTAGATTGCACCAATGATAGAAATAATGATAGTGATATCAAGACAGTACATACAGATATTTTGAAAAGGTCCTAAATGTTTATAAATTATATTATTATTATGCTAATATATTGCATTGCAAAAAAACATATCAATATTTTCTCTTGTTCTTACAGGTCATATCTTCGATATATTAAACGACTGTTACTCATCTGATGACGGTAGTGACCAAAGTCTAAGATTGAAATTACTCATTAGGTCTTATTGACAGAAGAAGCAAATGCATTAATGTCGATACATAAATATGCGTGTGCTTGCATTAATATTTCAAATATTTTTCTGTATTTTGCATTATTGTTTGAATGTAATAGATCGAGATAAAGGAGCAAAAACAAAATAACATAATAAAAATGTTTTCGCTTTTTCTCACATATTTTTCCCTGTGCTACGTTCCGGTCGATGTATTCGTCAACATATAAATATGAAAAATATGACGAAATAGGGGCTTTTTTTGTGCCTTTCATTAGTGAATATGCAGATATTTATGACAAAATATGCCTACTTGATAGATAAAAAAAAATGACATTTTCTTTCTTCCTTTATGAATACAAACGATTTTTAAACATCAATAAAAACATACATATTTCCTTTTTTTTTCTTATATGAAAAATAAAAATTATGAATATCCAAATGATTTAGCCAATTGAAGATCTTGTTGAAGTTGATGTCGTTTTAATGAACGACGTTGTCGACGACGCTGACGTTTAGCTTCAAGACGTAATTGACGGTTTTGTTCCATGGATTGTTCATATTTTCGACGAAGCCATCTATAAAAACAAATCAATTAATAAATAAATCTAAATTTTAATGAAATATTTTCTATTAAACTTAATTCCATTTATTTTACGAAAGAATCAATAATATATATCTATATATAGTTCAAAAGTTTTGAACTTGATCATACGAAAAAAAATATATTAATCTATGCTATTGTCAGTATTTGTACTCATGCCCAATATGTATGAGTATATTTCCAGGGCAATAGCATTATAATTTCAAATAATATTACCGATAAATTATATATGAAATGAAGACTCATTGAGAATCAAATTTTTATTCATAGCTGATAAATCATAGCATGATAATAATCTTTAGAAAGAGGCATTTTTTGTAACTTGAGACATATGATTGAGTACATATATGGGTCACTAGTCATAAAAATATGAAGCTTTAAAATTTCGATTAGTAATGTTTGAATAGTGTGAAACTGATACATAAATGACAATGTAAGAATTAAAATACTGAAAAATATCATAACTCTAGTCAACCGAGAGAAATATAGTGTGGTTCAATACTTTTACTCTAATAACATGATTTATTTATCAATTTAATATCTTTTTTCTATGAAAATCATCAACAAAAGAAACTATGCAAAAAATTTATTGCAATAATTCTTCTAAGAAACTTTGCGTTTTTTATGATTAAGACGGCCATTTCTTTGGAGGACGGCTTATCAATAGTTTCGAAAATTTCAGAGCAGATAAATCTTGACAACTAGAGGAAAAATTGTGATAAACTCAAAATTCTCTGATGAGTCTTGATATTACTTTCACTTAAGCGGTTTGTACATAATTTTAGAATTTTTAGACTTCATATTTCCAAGACACGAATTTTTAAAAATATCTTCTAATATAAAATACATATGAAAAAGTGTCTGTTTTTTGTAGAGTGCATAGGTCAGAAATATGAAGTGTAGAAATTCTGAATTTTTTTGCATAACACTTTAAGTGAAAGTAGTTTTAGGACAAAATTCGAAATGATGATGTTTCAGAAAACCTGCGGTGTTATACAGATTTCTTGAAAATAGACATTTTAAAAATAACTTCGCAAAATTTTAAATAGCATCCCAAATTCTTTAGCTTCTTACTAGAATACTATGTAGTATGTCAAAGTAAAAAGAATCATAGAAACCGGGCAGGGACATTTAGGGAAGTTCCCTCGTCAGCCACAATACATTTGATAGAACTTAACACCTTTTTTAAAGATACTAGACACTATTTGAAATGTCTAGTTTTTTTAAAAGCTTCTTTCATTCGAATAAAAACACCAAAATCCTGAAAGTATCTGAAAAAATACATGTTTTTCCTTTAACTAGAATTTTTATTTTGTGAGTCTTGACACAACCAGAAATAAATTACATTAAAAAAAAATTGAGTATCATTCGAACTTTCCAATATAAGTGAAAGAAAGTTCAAGCTCAATCAGGTGTAGTGCAGTTAAACAAGGGGAGTCTTTATTTGCTTGTCTTTCTGAAACAAAAAAAAATCATTTTTTTCAAACGCAGCGAAGTAACATGTAAATGTTGACGTTTTTTAAAGTGGATGTGTTCTATATTTTCCAATTTTTCGACTTTTATAATTATACATTAATTCAATGTATTATCCAGTGTGAGGACCGAGAGAGAGCAGTGCTCCTTCGAAGACTTGTTTGGTCACCAAGGAGTTTGTGAGTATTGCACCACATACTATGTGTCTATGCTTCCAAAAACAAAGCTTTCGACACATTAAAAGACTCGGAGGATTTCTATTAAGTCCGTCAAAAATATCATATTTTCTCGTAGTTATTCCATACGCGTAGAATGAGAAAGAAACAGCTAATATACTGCGAAAGAGAAGCAAGAAAATCATTGATAAGAAGAGTATTATTAGGACAATATACTCTAATATATTGATACAATGTCTAATAGCGCTCTTTTTTCTAAATGATAAGATCTGTCAGTGGCAACATTTAACCTTCTCAATAACTAAATAACTGAAAAAAAGAAGACTACATTTTTTTATCAAACTTATTTAAATCAGTTGGTTATGTTGAGATTTGAATAGTATATAGATGAAATTCGTTTATAGTGAAATATATCGCTAGTATAATTATTAATCCCAGACTAACTTCAATGGGTACGGTTGTCTGCGAAGAAACAGTATAAAGAAAAACAGCAGTGGAGACACATTCAATGTTCTTTTTTGTGTTTGTTTGTTTGTTTCAAAACATGCATTTAGACCTTTTTGCGAAAAGAAATATGTTTTCAAGCTCAGAAGGAACACTTCATAAAACAAATCTCATAATGTATACCTAAAAATTTGTTTTTTACAAGTATACATGTGCTGTTTTATGATAAAAACGTTTATAAATTTCTAGAAGAATGGGCAAAGGTGAATAGATCTTATATTTGATATACAATTAGGGTTCTATGACTATAACAACTTTTTTTTGTATAGAGAATGCCAAAAACCTTTTTTAGACTACGTTAGAAAACAACATTGAAGTAATTCTACAATAAGTTTTCAATAAACTGGTCTTTCCTCTTAGCTGTTTAAAACAAGAAATTTTTCGAGCTCGAAACTGACACTTTGTCATGACAATGGACGCAAAATATTGTCGATACCGCGGAAACAATTTCTTTTTAGCAATTTTTATAACCGATCATTTTAAATAAAACCCTGATAGATTACATCGATAGTAAATATCAAACTATCAAATCATGTTTGGTTTTTTTCAAAATAATTAAAAATATATATTACCTTTGAAAGGCTCGATGATCACTCTCTCGACTGGCATTATTTATTGATGATAATGAACCTCCTGATAACATTTCATATTCATCAGCTTTTAATTTTTTAAATTCATCTGCAATCCTTGCTTCTTGATCTTTACGTTCAAGCCATTCTTTATATTTTTTTTCTCGTAATTCTTTTAATTCTTTTTCTTCTTCAACTTGACGAGTCTAAGAGAATAAAAAAGAAAATCAAAGATATATAAATTTAAAAGGATTCTACTTCTTTTTCTTCTTTTTCTAATCTTTTTTCTTCATTGATTCTTTTACGTTCTGTTTCTTTTTCTTGTAACCATCGTTTATAGGATTCTTCTGCTTTAGTCAATTCTTGTTGACGTTTTGTTTCCGCCTAGATATTATTATT